CATGCAGCACCTGTCACGTCACCATCACCCAGGCAGCGCCACCAGGACCCAGCCCCGGGCGCTCCCACAAGGGCTCAGAGAGTTGTTGGCCTCCCCACCACCACCCTCACCCCCTCCCTGCCCCATGACCAGGCTCCATGGCTCGGCTCCGGGGTAGTCCTTCAACAGCCCCCCGGCCATGCATGCAGGGCTGGTGGCCAGTCCACGCTCACTCCCACACCTCTGTCCAGATGGCTCCCCGGTGCAGCGGGGGCGCCGCTGCCGGCCTCAGGATGAGCTCTCCTACCTGCTTGTTGGTGTATTTCTGGGGATTGGTGCGGTAGCTGTAGTCCGAGTACTGCTCGGAGCCCGTCGAGTTGTTGTCCCCGGTGCCAACAAAGGTGTTGGTGGCTGGCAGGTCCTGCACCACTTGGTGCTTCTTGGAGGCAGAGGGTGACTGAGGCTGCAGCTGGATGGAGGGCAGCGGTGAGTTGGAGCGGTAGTGGCGCCCCAGGTCTGGGCTGCCCGGAGGGTAGTTGAGGGGCAGGTGGATTCGGGGGCTGTCGCTGACAGAGTCATTCATGAGGTTGAACTTGAGTGATTTCTGCAGCCCAGTCTCCTCCTCATCCTCTGTGGGCTTGGGTGGCTTTGGAGATTTGCTCTTCTTCACCTTGCCCTTGCTCTTCCCACTCTTGCTGGCCTGCTTGGGTGCATACAGGTCCTTGGTCTCCTTCTTGCCTGCCTGGTAGCCGCTCTTGGCCTCCCGCTGCCGGCAGTAGCGCACCAGGACAACCAGCACGATGACCAGGGTGACGGCCACGATGCCGGCGATGACTCCAAAGAGGATGTTGCTTCGCTGCTTGCTGCGTTCATACTCAGGGTCCCCGGCAATGTCTATGTCCAGGGGGGTGTCCAGGCTGTGCCCCACCAGCGTGTCCAGCAGTGTGCGGTTGGCCAACGTCTCGTTGACGTAGAAGTGCACCAAGGCTGTGCCGTGCCGCGACGGTTTGCCCTTGTCGTTGACACGCACTACCAAGCGGTGCAGGCCATGGTGCTTGCGCAGGATCTCCTTCTCCAGGGTGATGTCTCCGCTCTGCGGGGATATCTGGAAGAGCTCAAAGGGATTGCCTCCTGTGATGCTGTAGATCAGCTCAGCATTGACACCAGAGTCAATGTCCTCCGCCTTGACCTTGCTGACCTGCTGGCCAGGGCTCGTGTGGGGCAGGATGTGTTTGTAGGTGGCATTGGAGGGGGAAGTGATGAAGGGAGCGTTATCATTCTCATCCAAGACATTGATGGTCACCCCTACATACGCAGATCTGGGAGGATCACCACCATCCACCGCCTTGAGTCGGAAGGTGTATGTGCTCTGCTGCTCCCGGTCAAAAGAGATGCTGGAGAGGATGGTGCCAGTGCCATTTTGGATGACAAAATCCCCATTGTCTTGCTCCACCGACAACTGGATACGGGCGTTTTCTCCTTTGTCAGCATCGATCACCGTCACCATGCCCACAGGGCTGAGGGGTGGCATGTTCTCCATCACCGAGAAGTTGTAGCCACTCAGCATGAACTTGGGGTCGTTGTCATTCCTGTCCATGACATTGATGGCCACAGACGCTGTGCCCTTCAGGCTGGGGCTGCCCTTATCTGCTGCCACCACCAAGAACTCATAGCGTTCCCGCTGCTCTCGGTCCAGCACTGCCTTCACCCGGATCTCCCCAGAGTCGGGGTCGATGGTGAAAGAGCCCTTGGAGGAGGGGTCTGTCACCAGGGAATACACTAGCTTAGCATTGGAACCACTGTCAGCATCTGTGGCACTTACTTCCATCACCAGGTCATCAGGTTCATTGTTCTCGGGGAAAGCCACCTCAGTGAAGCTCTGGCTGAAGACAGGAGCATTGTCATTCACATCTACCACCTGCACCTTCAAAGAGTTGGTGCTGGAGAGGGGTGGGTTCCCCGAGTCCACCGCCACAATCTCAATAGTATACTCCTTCACTGACTCGTAGTCCAGTGGTGTGGTGGTCTGGAGGAAGTATTTCTTCTTGCTGTCACTCCCTGTCTCACTAGCCTGCCGCAGCTGGAAGGGCACATCACCAGCCACCACGCAGGTCACCACAGCGTTTTCACCCTCATCTCGGTCAGACACCTGCACCAGAGCTACTGCTGTCTCTACTGGCACATCCTCCGATATGTTGGCCATTCCATCCTGGTGAGTGACCAGCCCTATGCCACGGATCTCTATGGAGGGTGCGTTGTCATTCATGTCCTTGATGGTGACCACCACCTGGGTACGGGCAGTCTTGGGGTTGGCCCCCTTATCCTTGGCCATGACGGAGAACTTGAGGGTGCCGACGTCCTCGCGGTCAATGGGCCCCTGCACGGTGATGAGCCCCGTGGTGCGGTCCAGGCGCAGCAGCCGGCGCACCATGTCTGAGGCTTGGTGGAAGGAGTAATCGATTTCAGCGTTGGCTCCCTGGTCTGAGTCATTGGCTTTCACCTGTGGGACAGAGGGAGAATCATAGAATAGATTCAGAGATCGGTAAGGGGATGGAATGGAGCTTAGAGGTCATCCCGCCCCAACCCCC